GGGGCACGGAGTGGAGGAGTCGGACGTACACGTCCTAGCAGAAGTATTTCCGTTCGTGACAACGGCCATGGTCCATGAGCTCGTAGTAGAAAAGGATCTCTACAGCACCGCGGCGGCTGGCACGGACTCGGGGTGTGATTTGTGGGCTTTCTGGCATGACAACAGGCTTAAACTCCCTGCTTGGTACAATGTAGCCAAGGACGTAGCTTTGATCCAACCCTCTTCCGCTTTCATGGAACGGGTGTTTTCTCTGCTTCGTGCTTGCATGGACGAGCGGCAGGAGCAGTGCCTCAGCGACCGGATTACGGCATCAACCCTTCTCAAGTACAACAGGGCTTCCAGTGCTAGAAGCTAGAAGGCATTCTTTCATCGTTGCTAAAAGTGCTGCTGACTTTGCCTGCAGCTGCTTATGTAGCGCCGCTTCTTCCCTTCGGTGGCTCGACTGTTTTTGTCTCTCCCTGTTTAGTTTTTAGGTGAGCGCAGCTCGTGTATCTGCTTTTGTATTGGGGAGAAGCTTTCGAAAGAGGGCGTCAAAGTGTGCTGCTTTGCCACTTAATGTTAGGAGTCGAGAGTTTTCGACATTCGAAACGAAGAGCATGATGATGAGGATGATGAAGAGCATTCACAGGTCTAATAGTGTATTGCAAGCTAACGGCCGCTCTTGCCGTTTGCCCATTTTTTTGGAGGAAAAACAGTCAATTTCAGCCAATGTACCCAGCAAAAGACAACAACAGAACACCTCCGGCTTCGAAGAGAAGATTGGGCGAGGCATAACTACCTAAAACAAGCAGGATAGCGAGCATGAAGTATCGAATTGAGGCATATGACCACCAGAAAAAAAAAAGCATAGCTAGAGCATAGGTCAGGGCATATTTGCAAAAAAAACGCATAAACGTGGGCATATTTGACTTGTTTCAGCATATGCTTCGCCAAAAAAAGGAGCATAAAATAAGAAAAAAAAAAGCATAATGGGTCTAAGCCTAGCCCCAGCAAAATTTTGGGGGGGGGGTCGCATAGTGGAAACGCTACCCCCCTATATTATTGTACATCTGCGGGGCACCATGTTCTGGGGAAAAAATGTGTCTTTATAGCGGGGAGTTTCTTTAAGAAGAGTGTCTTTAAAGCGGGGACGACTGTAGGTACAGCACATGCAGCACCGCAGGGTTGCGACAGTACAATACTTCGTAAGTCGCGAGGGAAGGGATTGCTGTACCCTTTTCGCGATAAAAATACCTCAGGCAGGAATTGCAGGAGGTGGTTCAGCCCCTCCCTCCTATGTGACCCCGGTTGGGTCGTCTAGCTAGTAGCAGTGGAGGATAGGGGCCAGAGGGGCAGACGATAGAGTCCAATGATGTGAGAAAAAAAAAAGTATTGTATCCATAGACACACGTACATCTTCCATTATACAATACAGACCACGCCTCAAGTCAACACTGCAGCAGAAGGTATCAGTAGGAAACATTTCTGTTGCCCGGCCTACTGCTGCTAACCATATTTGTCCAATAGAAAAAAAAAAAAGGTCCCGTTCTTCTGCAGTAAATGCCGCTGTCCTGCCCAACATTTGAGCAAATGCGTTGGGAGTTGTCAATGGCATCAGCAGGCATCAAACTGCCGAATATCGGTACCATTGTGGCAAGTATACCACCACCTGTACATTCATTGGTTTTGCCATATCATTCTCTCAAGACACAGTATATCGCACTATTTACAACAATCGGTGTCTGCAGGGCAAAACAACAACAGAGGTTGTTCTCTGTGCGCTGCCCCATTCCACAAAAAAACGAACACAACAAGTACATGCGAGCCGACCTTGGCTGTCCGATTGACCCCTTGCAGCTGGATTCCCATGTAATATTACCGGGAAGAGCCTCGTCTCGCTCCAGCTTGCCAGCATGCCCGCTTCCGTGTAGGTCAGTCCAGCGGCGCTCGCGTCGACTGTCTCTGAAGGATTCTGAAGTGGACAACGAGGGTCATCATGAGACTACTCTTATTTCTCGTAGGCTTGCTCTCTGGCTTGCCTCTCTCCCGCCAGGCTCGATTCTAGAATGCACGAGGTGGCCGACCTGGAGCTACGAACGAATCGCCCTACAGTACCACCACCGGCAGGCAAACGTCACATCTGTTTCCTTGTCCCATGTCGGCTAATCGAAACACGTTCTCAGGCAAGGTGCTGGGGGGCATGAAGCTGACCCCATGCGGCGGCTACATGGTATATCCTCTGGGGTCAACACTGGTGGTGCGGAGCATGACGGGGAAGAACAAGCAGGCCTTCTTGGAGGGACACACCTCGGAAATATCATGCGTCGCGATGAGCTCCGACGGAACTCGCATCGTCTCCGGGCAGGTGCGTGTGTTGCTGTTGTTACTGTTTGGTGCTTTTCTGTCGGTGGGTTTTGTCATGGCGGTTGCGGTGGTGGTTGCATGTTGAACGTTTAAAAACGTTTAGTCTGTCTCTCTACGTCGCATATCTTCGCCCGGCATGTTTGGATGGGTGCGCGAGTTGTAGTTGCATGAAGATCAGTCGAAGCGAAGAGAGGTAACCCTTCCATATATCTCTACCAAGGAGCACGGCGAAGAGCAAGGGTAAAACCGAACGCGTGAGGAAAGAGAATAGTAGCATGGATTGGACTGCAGTTCGAAGAAATCAAAAGTGAGACGAAGCACTTTGAGCATTTGTTCAGCACCCGCATCCACTGCTCCTCTCTCGGCATCTCCGTCCTCCAAATCGGCCAAGGGCTTAATGAACGCGCGCTGTGTGCTTGTGACGGCTGTGACACCCGAAAACATTTCAAACGCCATGTTGCTGCATGCGGGGACTACCTACCCAGGCAAACCACATGGGTGTGAAAGCGGACCTCTGCATTTGGGACCTGATCCAAGCTCAAGCGAACTGCGACGCCGAGAAGCCGAGCGGGGCGGGCGTGCTGCTCCACCGCTTGAAGCAGCACCTGGGGCACGTCCGGGCCGTTGACTTCAGGTATTGATGGTGGTGATGCCGACCGACTACCACGTTTGGCATGAAATTATGACGAGGCAAGCGTGTTACACTTCGTCTTGGCTCTCGGGCGTGCAATGGGGGTGTATTGGTAGTGGAAACGCACACGCCGGGAACTCTCAGACGGTAGTTCACGTCGCTCTGCTGAGTCGACATAAGAGCCTTTAGAACATCTGTATGCCGTCCCTAGGAACATGGACAGAGAAGTCACTTGGAAAAACGCGGACTTACCTGTGCCGTCTACTTGTAAGCCAGCCCCCACACCGTATGCTTGAACTGCCCCACAGTAATACTTGCGAAACCGAAGTCAACTCTCGCCCTACCGCGTCCAAGCTTGGCCTGTGATATATATCGTGCTTCTCGACAGGCAGGACAATGGTCACTAGTAACCTTGTAGGGGATTCAATGCGCGTTTTGGTGAGGAACGCTCACTACATCACCACACCTATCTCCAACCTCGTTTCGCTTCCGTGCTGCAGCTTCGACGGGAAGTACTTCGCGTCGCTGGGCGGTCAGGACGACAACTCGGTGGTGATCTGGGAGGCGAAGACGGGCCGGGCCGTGTGCGGCTCCCCCGCGGCCCAGGACTCCGCCTTGAGCGTGAAATGGCTGCACCGCCGCAATGACCGCTTCGTCACCGCGGGTAACTTCCACCTGAGGGTCTGGCAGGTCGACGTCTCGATTCCCAAGGTGAACACGGATTGTAAGTGGTTAACCTTGGGGTGTGGCAGGTGTAACCTGCTTGAGTCGGAAGGGGAGGATGGTGAACGGCCAACGGTGCTGGCGGGAGAAACAAAACCACCAAGCAAGCGGCCTTGTGGCCTAGCTATTGCTGGACACACAACTCGCCGCATGCAGAGGACGTATGCAACGGCGTATGCTGTTGGTGGTGTAAAAGAACGACGTCCAGACAAGATGGAATGCAGTGGCCTGACAAGACTGTCAATTGTTGGTTGAAGGAAGTAGAGGTAGAAGTTTGTTCCAGCTTCTACGACCCTCTTGCCGGTAGGGGTGTTTTGTTCGGATCTAAGTTTCTATGAAGACGTCGTTGTCAGGTATTAGCTCTGTATGGACCATGAAACGGCACCATCAGTATGATCGGGTGTACTTCCGCCTACGCACGGCCATGCGCTCGCGTTTGACAACAGATTATGAGCCCCTCGACACATGGTTGCTCGACATGACTGCCTGTGTTTCAAGGCATTCCCTTTCGTTGCGCACGCGTTTGCAGGTCCACGCCGTGGACGCCCAGATGGGGGGAATGCGCCGCGCGATCGAGTGCATCAGCATCACGGAGGACGACAAACACGCTTACTGCGGGACTCGCACCGGAGACGTTCTCAAGTTCAAGATCGACCGGGATGACATCCGGGTGCGTGCGCTCCATGTGTGCGCATCTGGAACGCCGTGTGTCTTTTCATGCTATATAGCATCGACCATGCTAACCGGCTGACCAATGAAAAGACGGCACTCTCAGTGCAGTTGAAAATACAAAATGCTTCTGAAGGCCACGGTCTGGGACCTCGTGAGGGTGTGTTTGTATGTGTGTGTGGGTTTCAAGGTTTGCAACAGACCGTGCTAACCGGTTGGCTACTATAGATATGTCCGGTTGGCACGGAGTGAAACCTTCCTGGGACGTGGCCAGGGCCCCCGCCGTAGGAAGACTTTGGCTGCGTGTGCGTGCGTTCGTTCGTGCGTGCGAGTGAGTATGCTTGCGTGCTCGTTCAACGTGAACGACTCAGCTTCCAAACCCAGTGTCGTCAGGTCAACTCCCAGATCAGCGCAGCACCACACAAGCATGGTGAGCTGCCCCCACCTACCCTCCTATTCTCCTCAGGCATCGCGTTCATCGCTTCAAGGTTGCCTCCCCTCTCCTTTCTCTCCCTCAATAGGTACGCACCGTCGTCTACGACCCCTTTCTTCATGCCCCCCATTCTCCGCTACTCGCTATGTTTGCCTTACCTCGTTGTTGTTGCTGCCGCGCACCCGCCTTGGCTTTGACGGCGTGTGGCTTTTTGGCATGTTTCATTTTTTTTGTCCCACGACTGACAGTACTTCAACGATCCGGACACCATCCGCCCCACCCTGGCGGGCTACAGCCTCGAGAAGTTCGGCAAGGGGGTGCGATCCGTGCACTGCGTGCTCAACCCGGAGACGGGCAACACCAACACGCTAGTCGGCGGCGGCGACGGGACTGTCAGCTTCATCAACCAATCTCTCAACAAGGTTCGGACCACGACCGACCAATGGGCCTGAGCACGGACCTTGTTTGTTAGGCGATGGTTGTCCGTCTGGTGCTAGCTTTTACTGGGCTGTGGCGCTCGTGGGTAGACTGATTGGTGCGGTTGATTGGCGTGACACACCGACTATTAAGCAGCACTGTCTTGGTGCCAATCGACGGGGGCGGTGCCTTTTGATGCGGGTATCTTTGCGCGGCACCTCTCCAATGGGACTGCAAGACCCCAGAAAACGGTTTCATGGACCGACAACGACAACGCGTACGACCGCTGCTACTTTTTTGTCTCGCCCTAACCGATCAGGTTGCTGGCAAGCACTGCGAGCTGATGGGCGCGGTCACCTCGATTGCCATGTGCCCCGGCAACAAGGGCTTCTTCGTCGGGACGGCGCTTTCCAACAGGTGCTACTCGTTGTGGACAGACTACACGTACGCCTGAAAAAATCACACCGTCTTGTTTGCATCGTGCTCGAGACGTGGTGGGGAGGGAGGAAGGGACGTGGAAAAGTTGCCTGCCTCTCTCTGTGGTTCAACGGTTGGCCACGGAACCTCTTTCAGCAGAGCAGAACGCCGCCTGCTAGACGCCCGTCCAACGCGCGTCAGGTGGTCGTGCAGTTTGGCGTTGTTCCACACCAGTTGAGGTGTGCGGGCGAGAGTACTCGAGAACGGAAGAGGGGAGGAGGGATGTGTACTGCGCCCACACGTCGGTGCTTGGTCGATACATTCTTCCGAGCATGGGGAGAAGCGGAATAACAACCAGCTTCCCAGGCAGAGCGCGGCTTCCTGTGGTCCTAACACGTCGCTCACGAATAAAACGTTTCGCCTTTGTCGATTGCCGGTGTTGGTGCATGTCTACCTGTGATGAAATGGACTTTTTTGGTCTCGCAAAGTGTCGGTCTTGGTTTCGTGTCACCTCCGGTATGCAAGTGTCGCCCAGGGGAAGAGCGAAGTGATGGTTCCACTGTTAGTAAAGCTTTGTTCAACACGATCAACTATCGCCAAAACTGGGCTCATGCCTCCCCTCGAGTCAACTCGCTAGCGGTGTTTTTGCCTGGCTTTGCGTTGGGGATTGTGTGCATGCTGCTTACCAGGCTTCGTGCAAACCCGACAGGAAACTTTGACGTTTTCAACAGTGAAATCATCGGAAAACCTAAAATATTAACTTTTATCGAAGGATAAGAGACTACGGTTGTCTTGATTTTGAACGACAAAATTGAGCGAAGTTGCGCTAACACCCAGAGCACTTTGTGCTGCAACAGGTACTGGGTAACGATGGACATGGAAACGGAGCTTCGCGGTACCTGCCACTTCGCCCGCGTGAACGACATCATATTCCCCGCCGGTTGCTCTGACCTCTTCATCACCTGTTCCGTGGCTGATATCCGTGTATGGAACGCCACTCTTCGACAGGAACTCTTGCGCATTCAAGTGAGCGTTGTTGAGACATGGTCGCACATTCGTATACCCTCGCAAATCGCGCACTTGTGATTTGGCAAGTTGCCGTTGCGTCAAGCCGAGTACCCTCAACGTTTTCTGCTTCGTATTCGACGTTCTTTTCTGTGCTTCAGCGTCTGTATGTTTCTGTTTATTCTCTTCATTCCTCGTGTTAGTCTCCTGGCCTTTTCGTTGTAGACTAAATTAGCGGCCAGCCACCGACGGTGGTTTGTACACACCTTTCTCCCGGAGCTTAAAGCGTGATCGTCAATCCCAGATAACCTGGGTGAACATGGGTCGAAACTGATGCGGAACGAGTCCCGCAAGAGAGTCTGCATGGGCGCACAAACCGCATTGTATCGACCACGTACAACACGACGAGTGTGTCGCTTTCTGTTTCGAGGAACCTGAACATGGTTTAGTTCCGCCACCTGGTTCGCGGAGCAAGCCGGATAAAGCAACGCCATGCTGTTTGTCGTGTGCGAAAAAGGTGCCCAACCTGGAGTGCTTCTGCGTGGGCATCACGCGATCGGGCGGAACGATCGTGTCTGGCTGGAGCGACGGCAAGATTCGCGCCTTCTACCCGGAGTCCGGCAAGCTCAAGTTCGTCATCTCCGACGCGCACGCGGACGGTGCCACGGCCTTGGCCCTCGCGCAAGACGATGATACCCGCCCCCCTTGGAGGTATCTATTATAGCAAGTTAATTTGCAGCAAGTTACCGCCGGCGAGAGCTGGAGGGCTGAGGTTTTCTATCTAGGCGGTTTGGTAGCGACTGGCTGGATCAATCGTCAGGGAGTAAGTGCCAGGCATTGAGGAACTCGTTCACTCTGGTGAAAGAGAAACCTCTGTTGTATTGGGAAGGAAACATTGTCGCTTTTCTTTTCTTCAGAAAAACAGCGTCTAGCTTACAAATCGACAGCACTAAAGGCTACTTGTTACAACAATTAACGTCGGTACGATCAACGGAGTTTTGGCGAATGCGACTGCACAGTAGTGCTTCGATCGCACAAATATTACCCGTGTTCGGTGTTGGTAGGTATATCATTGTGGGGCTAAGGGTCTGTATTTATCGCAGCCAATTGGTAAAGGAAGCTCTGCAGACAAGCCCCCGACTGTCACATTCGTATTGCTTCATCCACCATGCGGCCAGAAAAGAACTGATCGTTTATGCGAAGCCAGACTGAACATCTGATGAAGCCCAACAACACGCCTGCGATGTCTCCTGTTAATGGGGCTGTGGTCGTCAGGCGGCCGGAGCTCGTGCAACTCCAGACCAAGCTAGATAAGAAGGGTGTAAATATTACTCCGGAGTGTACGTTAACCTGTGAAACGCAGCTTTCCCCGACCCCCAGCCCCACCCCCTCTGGATCTACGTATCATCTCATCCCCCCCCCCGTCCCCCAATCAGGCTCTCCCTACACTCAAAACATTTCCTGCCCCCATCGTTCTATTTCTAACCGGCCGGGGAACTTTTTGTGTCATGTTATATCACAGGTTGATCTCGGGCGGTGGGGATGGGCGGGTGCGTGTCTGGTCCGTGACTTCCTCGCACCAAGCCATGACCACGTCGTGGAAGGAGCACCGGGGACCCGTCACCTGCATCCAGGTATATGTGCCCCCGCATGCATCATCGGGAAGACCTGTAGCGATCACATGGAGGGGGGCGTATCCTTCCCCCGACGAAGCGGAGAGCAAACGTGACAGGAGTAACGGTCATAAATGGTAGGACTATTTTAGAATCAGCGAAACCTTTGGAGATATTGTCTCCCGAAAACGCGCGCACGGAAAAAAAAAGGTGTCTCGCGAAAACGGACAGTGCATCTCGGGGTCTGCGGACGGATCGTGCATCGTCTGGGACCTCAACCGCGGGATCCGCGTGCTCGCCCTCTTTGAGCCGAACGTCTTCAAGGGGGTCCGGTACCACCCGGACGAATCGCAGTACATCACGTGCGGTTCCAACCACAAGGTACGGCGAGGTGGTGTGTGTATTTAGCCGGCATAGACTGCGATATTCGGTTGACCAATGAAAATATATCAGTGTCCGTGGGAAAAAAATCAAGGTCCCTGCGAAGGATTATACCCAAGCNGTCTATCCTAACGAAATCCCTTCCCGCCTTTTCAACCCACCTCCTATGCCCCAGTACAGCTACCGTCCTTTCCTCTCTATTCCATGCCTCAAACGTCTCACTGTACGTCCCGTCTATTTTTTCCAGCTCAGTCACGTACACTTCCCTCTCCTTCTTGTACCACGGACATTCCGCGACTACATGAACACGGTCTTCCCATTCGAAGCCGCAATCACATTTGAACTCGTCGTCTTCGTCGTCTACCGTCCTATGTCTTCGTCGACGTTCTCGAAGGCCTATGTCCCCGGTCCTGAATATAACCTTAAGCTTTGTTCCTGCATCCATT